GCGAACTCAAGACCACAGCTCAGCAAAGTTCGTAGCAAACTGGTCCTTGCATGATATCATGTTTCACTCTTTCTCTGTGGGTCGCTCTCTTTGTGTTGCTATTTGTGCAAAGAGAGGTCATGTCTGTGGTGGCTGTGGGAGTGGATGTGGTGCCGCTGGTGGTGTGATGTTGGGTAATCCCCCCCGAAAGTGCCACAGCCTCCCCCCCGGTCGGAGATCGCAGCTTCTCCGACTGTGTCGTCATTCAACTGCGATTTCCCTGGTGGGTGGTCCGCGTCTCCCGTTGGGAAGAAGGTTGTCCTGGATTGCTTGTTGCTTGCCGGTAGCCCAAGGCACGTCGAAGTGGTTCACAAAGGCGTGGGTAAGGTCTTGCCACTTCTTGCGATCTTGTGCCACCTCCCCCCACTGAGTGCCAGCTATGGTTTCAATGGCCCTCTGCACATCGGGCTCGGGATTGAAATGACCTATGTGCGAGTCTTGCGAGGCTTGTTCTGCTGCTCTCGCCAGAAGGCCATGTTTTCCAGGTGACCATGGCATTCACTTCCTCCCCCCCGCGGGCCATATGCCCCCAGAGTGTCCAGACACGGCGCAGGATGTAGCTGGACCACTTCTCTCCCCCCATGCGGTGGAGGTGTATCCGTGCTGCTCTGAGGCTTCGAGTGTGCCATGCGGCCCATTGCTCGGTGGGCTTGCGGTGTAGAAAAGGCATCCCCCGTAGGTGTTGCATCTGCAGCGAGTTTGCTGCCTAGAGGAGCCGGTGCTGCACTGGCCATGTTTGTCTGCATAGAGGGCCGAGTTGCGTACAAGGGTTGTGTATGCAGACCATCGAGTGTTGATGTGCGTCCGTGCCAACAAGATCTTCTTGTGCTCGGCAAAGGCTTGTCTGCCTCGGCGGCTCATCTCCGCAATCAACGCCGTGGTTTGTTCCCCAAAGGTGATGGGAGAGCCCAGCGCCGCGATGATTGTTTTGTGTGGGGCGCATGCAACCGTTTCCCCGCCAATGTCGAAACTCCCCCCCCGGGTTGGCTTGCTGAAGAGTATGGCGGTTTTGGTGGGGTGTATTTTGAGCCCATCTGCCGCTAGCTCCTCTTCGAGTGAGGACAGCGTCCGTTGTAGGTGGTCACGATCTAGTTGTCTGTCTGTCTTTGTCTGTTTCTGTCGGGTGCCTGCCTGCCTGCCTGCCTGGCTGCCAGTCTTTGCCTGGCTGCCAGTCTTTACCTGTATGTAAGGTAAGCTTGCATGCATGAGCATGTGTACTTACAGGCATAAACTCTTACAGTACCCTTCGTATTGCCTACACATGTACGTGTGTGTAGGTGTATATATATATATATATATATATATATATATTGTGTGTATATATACGCAAACATATGAATTCACATGTATTTGCGTGTAATAATATTAAACATACATATTATATAGGCACCTGTGTGAGCTTGTGCAACTAACACCTAGCTGCCTAGCTGCTTACTCGTACATGGCCAAACTACAGGCAACAATCCTGGGTCTAAATGTGGGAGTTTCCGAAAATAGGGGACCCTAATATAGTACCCTAAATAGTAGGATCCTTATTATAAGGACCCCCAAATAAGGTACCCCTAATTTTCGGAAACCCCCATGTGCATACGCAAGCTGAACAGGCCAGGTCGCTGCAGACCAAAACGGCTTCGCAGTTTGCGCCCGCCTCGCAGCACATCAGAATTCTTGACAAGTGGGTGTTTGTCAAAATTATGGTCCCTTTTGAGGTTCCTTTTATTATACAGCACCTATTATTTAGGGTACCCAAAAAGGGGCCATAGTTTTGACAACTACCCAAGGGACACCAGCACCATTGTCACGTGGGTCTGATAGAAGTAGCTCTTACGATTTGTGACTGATTTCATGCTTAGGGCTTCGGTATTTCTGCTCCGCGACTGGTTTTTGCATCTGTTGTTCTATCTTTGTCCAAAGCTGTCCAGCAACGCAGCAGAGCTCTTGCCGAACCAGAAATGCCAAGCAGTGGCAGCTAAATCAAAACATACCAATCAGCTTGATTAAGCCAAAAACTCCTAAACCCATGTGATCTGTCTCAGACATGAACACTTCGCCCTGTCGTCTACCCGCACCAAAAGCGCAGAGTGGACATGTCCGAACGCTAGGAATGCTGTAGTCTACCGTGCATTTTTATGAATAGAAACAGGTCTGCATCTACATGAGAAAATGGGCCAAGCTATGACCCTCTCAGGCGACTTTGGTGTAAAGGTCTAGCATTCGCAACTTAGCAATGAAGCTCAGTAGCTGTGAACAAACCAAGAGATTAGCACTGTACAGTCTACTAGGTCGTACTGTGCCCTCAATGACTGGTAAGCACCTGCAGTAAACTCTCGAGCAACGCCCAGCAGGGGAGATGCACTACAAACCGAATGCTACCATGCCTGCAACGCGCTAAGCCTAGTGCCGAGAGAGCCCTGATAGCACCTCTTATGGCAACCCGCAAGCAAAACCCCAAGGAATCTGATCTCCGAGAAAGCGGCTTGATAAACTGCCCGTGGCGCGTTGTGACGGGCAGCAAAGGAAGACGCAGACCTGGCACAGATTGGAAGATGCCAAGGATTAGGGTGATAGCTCTTGTAGAAACTCTGCGAAACCTTTATTAAACAACTTCTCCAGCTGTATGAACGCGTACACTACACCCTTTTCGAATGTAGCTCTTGTAGACACGCTGCGAAACCTTTATTAACAGACTTCTCGAACATTATCAATGCCTATACACCCTCGAATGTGATGCCTCAGTAGGGCCTGTGACGCGGCATTGGACCGAACAGGAAAACTGCGGCTGCGGCTGGAGGCTTGGGTGGCAATGAACATAGCTTACGAACACGAAGCGATCCCTATGCCCTCAGCAGCAACATCCTCGTCACCATAACAGGCGCTATCATGATCATGAACGCCAACATCCTCAACAACACTGGCATCACCATCGCAATCATTGGCCGTACGAACGCAGCCGCGATCAACATCCAACCCACCACTTCGTCAACGCTGTGATTCTCCCCATCGCAACCGGCTCCGCCCGTTTGCACCGTCGTCATGACTATAGCGTCTCACGGTGAATCTCGTCACTCATTACCGTGGCTTTCCTGCTTAAAGTTCATTGCCTGCGTACTTTGCATCGTGTTCTCTTCGTTTTTGAATGCGCGGTGCGGACGGGAAAATCGTCATCATGACATTTGGTTCGCGGGCTCATCAGATCAGTAGCAGCATCGCCACGTACTATACATGCTCGGCATCAGGGCATCCAAATCAAAAGCAATGACAGTCACAGTCTTGCTCATGCTCGGGGCTCGGATCATGTCGTAGGCCCCCGTTTTCCAAAGATCTTGGTCTCTAGACCAAACCGCAATAACATGACTGCGCCGCCTTTGTAGGAGTCGCTGCTGTCAAGGAAGGCATCGAGCAAAGCTTTGTAGGCCTCCCCGGGGGCCGGGATTTTTTCCGCCGCGGGCTCGGCCCCTGGCTCTGAAACCTTCCTCAAAGCCTAGGGTCAGAGCACCGGAACTCAGGAATTCTGGGATGTAGGGCCGCATTTCATGGGGTCTGTTTGACTGGGAGTTCCTTCAAGTGGCTGGTCAACCTTTCAGTACGCACCTTCAAGCCCAGGCGTGCTGAGTCTTTGGGATTTCTGCAAAAGGCTTTGTAAATGAGAGCACCTCCTCGGGCTGCATCATGCGGAACAACCATCCACGTGACTCCACGGACTGCATGAAAGGGCCAGCTTTGGGACTTCAGACAGGCCACTACCGGTGCAAACAACAGGAGCAAAAGCATCTCTTGACAGCCCCCGGATGCAAACCGCGAGAGAGCTTAGTGCCCTGCAAAAGGAAAGCGCTGCTTTGGCGGTTTCGAAAACACTTCATACGCAGACACCGAACCTTTAACCCCGAACTTTAGAATGGTGCAAACCCTGCTCGACAGCCAGACTCCACGAGACCGTGGCCAGGACCAAATTTTAAGAGGTCCCTTGCGTCCGAACCACCGGTGATAAACTCTAAGTCCAACGTGGAGCGCCTGGCTCATGGCCACAAGTAGGTCCGAAAGGCTGTTTGCCTCCCGCCAGACAGATCAAGGTCCCCTAAACTCTAAACCGCCAAGCGCGAGAGAGAGCTACAGTCCGAGTGCGAGACCTAAACGCTACTGTTCTGCTGCGCAGCAACAGATGTCAATTTCTTGAGTGCTCTATGGGTTTAGCTTATAAAACGAAAGCTAAGTTTGAGGCGTTGCGTCCGAGACTGTGCGAGCGTGAGAGCTGAACTTGGGTTCCAGGCCATTTCCATCGACAGATATTCCTGCTGCTGCCGCTCTGACTATGACGACGACTACCGATACTACTATGCGACTACGACGACCATGCAATGCTGCTGCCACGGCTGCTGCTGCTGCTGCTGCTGCTGCTGCTACTCCTACTACTACTACTACCACCACCAGTACTAGTTTACTAACTACTACTACTGGTACGACGACGACTACTACTTCTACAGCCAGCACTACCACTTACGCCGCCTCACGAAACCCGAGAATGGGCATGGTGCGGCAACTTCGCACTTGGGATGGTCCAAGTTAAATAGTGCATAGTTTGCTCGCACGAGTCTGCCCGCACATGCGGGAACGCATATTCCTCAGCAGCGGAGGCACGGCGCATCTTTTCGAAAACCCAGCACATGCTGCCCGCTCAGAACCGATGTTTGCATCTGCGACAGTACCATACGGGTGCTAGACAGAAAAGTACCTCCCGGAACATGTAGCAACCGCAATGTCGGAATCTTTGAGCGTAAATGCCATAATACAATACAAGCTGATTGGTCACTGGTTGGAGTCATTCGGACGCTTAACTGCTGTATTGTCCTTCTTGATGCCAACTTGGCTGTGAATCTAAACTTACGCAATCCGGAAGGCAACTAGCACAGAGATCTGGTCTTGCCGTCTTGGCGCAGCCTGGACAATCAAACGTTAGCATCGTATCAAACGATGCCGTTTGCAAAACGTTGGAAGCCATCAGCCACGAATCCAAGGAAATGCAAAATTGCTCGGATCGGCAAACGGCTTCTCACACTGTGTAGCTCCTCGCAAGGTTCAAGCTGGAAGAACTATTGTCATGTTCATGATTCTTGGTATATCAGACCACCACCACCGACAACAACAACGAACAACACAAAAAACAACACCAAAAAAACAAGCAACACGACAAACAAACAAACAAACAAACACCACCACCACCACCACCACCACCACCACCACCACCACCACCACCACCACCACCACCACCACCACCACCACCACCACCACCACCACCACCACCACCACGACCACGACAACCACGACAACCACCACAAGCAACAACAACAACAACAACAACAGCAGCAACAACAACAAAGAACAAAGAACAAAGAACAAAGAACGAAAAACAAAGAGCACCACCACCAACAACAAAACAACAACAGCAACCAACAAACAACAAGCACATCCAACAAACAAGAAACAGGACACAATAACCAAGAAGCACGAAACACGCAACACAAAAAAATAGGAAACGATACTCAAGCCATGCTACCAGAGAAACAACAAACTTAAACAACAAAAAACAAACGATAACAACAAACGAACCTACACGAAACCGCAGCAACAACAACAATGATGAACAAAAACGCAACAGCAACAGCAACAACATCATCAGCTGATCATCAGTAGCAGCAACAGCAGCAACAACAGCAGCAGCAACAGTTTGATTGGACGCTGAGCGAGCGGGCTCTGCTCATAGCGGGCGAGTTGTATCTCAGGCTGTGCAAGAAACGAGCAATAGGAGAAATAGATGTCAGCCAGTCGCAGAGTTGCAAAATCAAATGCATAGAACGATGAAAAGGAAATACCATACCAAAGAAGTAAACATGCGACTGTCTGTGCATGCACTTCCGGTTCTACCAGCTACGTTGTCCGTGCCATGTGCTGCGATTGGCACCTTAGTGTTTATGCCTCTACCGCAGTCACATGTCGGTGAGACAGCCTCCGTCACCCCCAGTATGAATCATCGCGTCCGATACTCATGAACCAACCACTGGTGGGTCGTACCGTAGCCGTCTCCCTGTGGCGTCCCACATTTGGTCACTCCCAGTGGGAGGCGATGGGCTGTAAGGTCGGAACGCTGAGCGTCACCTCATCATTCGAGCGTGTGAGGCAAACCTAAGTCGATCCCTTGCTAGCACTGCGGCGCAGGCAACCGGCCAGAGTGGCCTGTTTTTGTCAAGGTTGGCGAGCGAATGCGATTTGTCCCGTCTGGGAGAGCATTGCGTAGTCATGCTGTAAAGTCTGCAATCCGAGAAGGCTTAGTCAGGCTTATTGAAGACGAGAGCATCACTGTTGATGAAAAAGGAGGGGAAGCATGCCCCCCGGCGCACAGAGACAAAGTGAATTAGCCGGGCGGTGCCTTGTCAGAGCCAAGACGGTATCCGGCTCGAAGAGGAAGCAGTCAGAAATGCCAATGATCCCGCTGCCAAGGGCGCTTGTAGGATTGGCAACGATCTTCATACCAATGCCGATCAGCTTCTTCTCGATTTTCCCAATGATCGGCCTCTTCCTCCAGTAGAAGGCCGACAGTCTCCATGTGGCCTTGGGAAGACGCCAAGACAAGACGTGTCTCGTACTCCTCCTTTGGGTAGAACTCCATCGAAAGCTCCGGCTTAGGATCTTGGGGTCGTTGCAGGATCGCCTCCATCTCTGAGACGCTGCCCATTTCCGCAACCGACAAGAGCACCGCAATCAGATTCAATGAAACCTCAGCAAAGCTCTGTAGAGCAAGCGTCAAGTCCATGAAAGACGTGAGGTTCGCGTCATCTTCAAGTAGAGAACTTCCCTACAGAATCCTCTGCCGGAATCGTGGCATCCCACAGAACTCCTGGAGGCGTGTCTTCAGCTCCCGCAGAGTCCCCGCTTCTTCCAGGGGAGCTGTGCGACGTCTGCTCCTGAAACCATCCTCACGCACAGCATGGCGGCTTCGGGCGCAGGCTCCCCAGGTTGGGGTTTAGGGTTTATCGGGCAGCAACAACAACAACAACACGAGCAGCAGCAGCAGCAGCAGCAGCAGCAGCAGCAGCAGCAGTTTTGTGTTTTTTATGCTTGTTTGTTTGTTTGGGTTGGTGGCGCCGCAGCAGCAGCAGCACCAGCACCACCAGCAGCAGCAGCAGCAGCAGCGGCAGCGGCAGCGGCAGCAGCATCAGCAGCAGCAGCACCAGCAGCAGCAGCAGAAGCACCAGCACCAGCACCCAACAACAACAACCACGACGACGACAACAACAAATGCGTGGGGGATTGATCTCGACTTTGTTGCTGCTCTCCCCACCAGAGCTGTAATGAATGTAGGTGTGGCTGGCTAGCACTCTCCACAGACTGGACCCTGTCTCTCCCTCTTACTTCCACACGTGCGATCCTATGCAGGCAGAACCGGCGGCCGTTCCTTTTGCACTCACTGCCGGCGGCGGTTCGTCTGTGCAACGGGATAGCTCTGATTGCTCAGGATAGAAGACACATATAGCACTTAGCTATGGGCATTGACTTGAGCCAAACGTTGCGTTGGCGGTCACATAGAAAGGTAAAGATGAGGGATGCGTAGCATGCCCCCTAGAGTCGAGGGACGCGTAGCGTGCCCCCTTCTCTTGCACTTTACACGGTCTTGTTCACAGCTCTTATAGTGACACCTTAGAACTTGACAAGGCATCGCAGTCCGTTCGCACCCCCCATGAGTTGCGTCTCCGACGCTGCTCACCCCGGAAGATGGCACGATAGGACAGAAGAAAATTCCGCCGCAACGTTGACTTTGAAAATCAGAGCTTTGTATCCCAATTAGAAACGTTGTGACACTCATCTACGTCAGTAACGATCCCCTGAAATGACAAACGAATCAGGCGTCACCGAAGAAAGAAGCATTCGCGATGGCATTCCACGGGCGAAGCTCAGAGGTCACGAACTTATAGGCGAGGAAGATCAGGCGTTGTCTCGCCACCATCTTCGCGTTGACGTAGGATCGCGGTCCCAGGGCCGGAGGTTCTCCTCTGGATACTGGTTCCTTGGCTTTCCTTTGTCCTTGCCTTTGTTTCGGCCTTTGGCGGCGATGTAGTCGTGGTAGGAATTGGTGTTCCAGCCACCATGTTGCTCGCCTCCGGTTCTTCCACGCCCTTTTGAAGGTCCCTTGGATGAAGAAGCGCTTTCACGTTCCTCCGTAGTGACAGGCGTGTCCAGGATGGATGTACCACCTGGAGGAAGATAGTCAGCGGCCGAAATGTGGTGTAGGGCTTCCGTACGCTTTGTCGTCGGGTTTTGCTGTCTCTCAGTCTTGGATCTGTTCAATCTGTCCATGAAATGCGCAGGCATTTGCACGCTGTGGTCCACTAGCAAGGCGATGGTCTGAACTGACTGATCAGAATGAGTCAGCAGAATACCGACGGGGTCGATGTACAAGAAGTCCACTGGTCCAGTTGGCGTTGGTCGTAGCACTGAGAATTGTTGGTGTCCCGTCACCATTGGAATCACCTCGCACAGGACGTTCAGGCAACAAAAGTGCATAGCCTTTACATCTTCATCCCTGTCGCTCTTCAAGTAAGTAGTAGGGTTGAAGTTGTCCCTGCCAATTCCCATCATGTTGGCTCCCCGTGTAAGTAAAGAAAGCATCTGGTTCGTCCGGAAGCGCTTCAAGGTGTAAGTCCCGTTGGGATCATACTGTTTGAGGTTCTCAGGTTCCTTTGCAAAGCGAATGATCTCCTCATCAGTCACGTCCCTGCTCACACCTGTTTCCCTATCCACTGCCGCCAAAGATCCCCACTTTCCAAGCACATCATAGCGTTGGCCAAGTGCGAAACTTTCCCTCATCTGAAACAACGGCATAGTCGCCCACTTTGCGAATCCTGACCAAGCCTTGTAGATGGATCTGCATACCACGTATGCCATGTACGACAGAGCGGTCATGTTCGCGTCAATGCAATGGGCATTTCGCTTTCCAGAATAGTAAGATGGCTGCATGGCGGTACGTGCAAGTTGTAGCTCAGGATCGATGTTCAAAGACTGGCCAGTAATGAAGACGGGACGACGTTCCTGTGCGATTGCTTCTGGAACTGCGTCATCAAAGTCCTCTCCAGGCTCGATGTCCATTTCTTCATCAGGTTCCTGTTCTGGATCGTCTTCCGCGATGACAGATGGTTCTGGGATTTCTTCAGGTTCCGCAACGGTCTCTACCTCCATGGCTTCCTGCTCCTCTTCGGGCGCCTCAGGCACTGCGGCTGCTGCGGCTTCCATTGTCTGAGCAATGAAGTCACTGGGGATCTCCGTAGGAGTCTCCCGTTGTGGAGAACCTTGGTAATATCCGCTCGAAATGAACTGTGACCAGCAAGACGTGCATCGGGAGAAACATGCTGGAACGATGTTGTAGCATGCCGGGCATACCCTCATTCTCCGTCCATCCTCGTCTCTGCGTAGGTCTTCGGGTCGCCAATTCTTGATGACAAACTTGATTCCTTTGTCCATGTAGTGATGCCGAACCGTGTTCTCCCTGTGGGACTCCAGGACAGTCGTGAGGTCACGAATGATCTGCTCCTTGCTTGTGTCGTGGGGTCCAGGAGGCATCTCGCAAAGCAATTCCATGATCTTGCTTGGCGTTCGGTATCTCTCGAACTCGGGAAGCAACGGTGATGCATTGTAGTCCAACACCAGCTCTTTCTCCAACCTTTCATCGTAGATCTTTTCCACCAGAGCGAAAGAGTGTGTATCTCGAGGATCAGGGACGCAAAACCATACCTCCTTGACGAAATGGAAAGGTATCGTTCGACCAACGATCATGATGCCGCTGTCTGTGATACGTCCATCTTCTCGTGCAAGATCTTGCGATGGGACATGAAGGACCGCCAATGGCATGTGCTTGGCGTCTCGTCCGTGTACTCGCATCTTGGTCGTTGCATTCCGGTGATCGAACGGCGCAAACACCCCCCAATAGCTGTGGAGTCTGCCGCCTTGGTTGACTCGGAATTGGCGCCTATGGTCGAAGTCCCCGTCGGGGTCCTCCGAACCAGGCATGATGCCTTGC